TGCCCACACTAGCTTCAACCTTCATTTTCCCCAGATGAATGATTTTTTAGATTGAACTCTATCCTCATTTGAACGATTTTTCACAGTTGCAGGTGCAATTTTGCAGATCTCCGCCAACAGTAAAACAAGTTAGATTTCTAATTAGTTAGTCAGGACAAAAGTCAAATATATATAATTATTATCGCTGATGTAGTATTAGTTAATTTACCGTATGCCCTGTTTGTATATACGTTTATTTGTATAGTCTATTTTCTAACTGCATCCGTTTTATTTGATCCTGTCATTTCTTTAATACATTATATTTTGTTTGGTATCGAATAAATACGTAGATCCTCTGCACCTTGCACGATTTTCTTACTATTTCAAGCATTCAGATGATTCTTTTTCACGTGGAATGTGCTTTGCAACAACTCTTGGTTTATTTGACACCTTCACATTGACATTGATAAACTATATACTAACGAGTTTCTCTTCTCTCCCGCTCTCTCTTGTACACTCGCTGTTCCGTTCGCATGACCCGGGATATGATTAACAATCGCCACTTTGCCACTTTTTGACACGTTCCGCCTTTGATTGCTTTAATTTGCTTTCTCGGTTCGTTTTTCATTTGTTTGTCTCCGCATACGCTCACACACACGTACACTCACATGCACACCACCACGCGCTTCCTTTGTCAGGCTAGTTTGATGACGTCGACGGCAGCTACGACGACAATCATCCAAACCACAACAACAACAGCAGCAACAACTCTAGCGGATTCGTCGGGCACAGCATCAGCAACATTAGTGGAAACGGGAGTGGGAACATCAATTGCAACAACAACACAGCAGCAGCAGCAACAGCAGGGACCAGCGCCACGTAGTAGCGACAACTCCAGCTCCAGCTCCACTAGCAGCAGCTCCATTGCGGGAGCAGTCTCTGACCTCACTACGGGGTACATGGTGAAACCGAGCAGCCAAGAGGGCCTCAAACTGACCATCAATAAAACGGGGAGCGGAAAGAGAGAGAGCAAGGGGGTAGCAACTAGCTCGTCGTCGTCCTCGGCTAGCAGCAAAAAGCAGCACACGGGATTGAAGCCAGGCGTAAACAGCGGACCGGCGTCTAAGAAGGCGCTTTCATCAGCTTCAGGCACAGGGTTAAGCAGTTCCAGCAAACACATTTTCCAAAAGGCCAATTCTTCCGGCAATCTTAGTAGCAAACTAGGCGGCTCCTCCACTTCAGGCGGTGGCTTGCCGTTGACCAAGAGCAATAGCACCAACTCCTTCCAAGAACACAGTGTACCCAGGCGCCGACCTAGCATGTGCAGCCCGGGTAACACTAGTGGAGGCGGAGTGCAGCGCAAGTCATCTTTAACGGCATCTGGATCGGCATCGGGCTCTGGTTCAGGACCAGGATTGGGGGCAGGCAGAATGTCACCAGCAGCGTTAACAGGGTCGATGTCACAGCCGCCGCCGCGCTTCGATCACCACACGGACATGATGACCATTCTACAGTACGCGTCGCCCACTATGGCAGCCAGTATGGAGGGCTTCATCAAGAGACTCCATAACAGGTTTCAGATACCCAAATTGTCTCAGCGACCAAGTGGCAGCAGCGTCGCAGCTGGACACACTGCAGAGCAGGCGTCAGCAACAGCAGCTTCTTTCTCCTCAATCGCCTCCACGTCCTCCTCGCAGGAACAGGAACAGCAACAGCTTAACGCAGACTTGAGTGCTCTGGCATCCAGCCTAACAGCTACGCCCTGTAGCAGCAGTGGAACGCAGAAGCCATCGACAGCTCCTTCCCCTGCTACAAGCCGTATGCTACTCAACTTGAGCAGCAGTGGGACAGTTAGCGCAGTTGGTGATGGTATCGACGAGGAGCTGCTCGCCAGCTTGGCAGGCAAATGACATATTGAGCTGCTTCTTCAACTCGCTGCAATCTCAACATAGTTCAATTAATGTGTTAAAGGCCTTTGGCTGGACTCTGACTGTGAGCTGTTTTTTGTTTTTTACTTGTCAAATAGGATAAGAAAAACATATTTACAATAAATATTTAATACACATACAAATATGTATGTGCATGAATATTGAAAAAATTGATTTTATAAAAATTAAATCCTCAAAAATTTATCAATATATTATTTAGCTCCCGAATAGGCTTATTCTTAGTGAAAATCCATATGGACATCTATTTCAAATATTTTACTAAAGGCATCTTGATAAAATTGGAGCCCTGAGTAGTGTAGGTAATAATTAATTTGAGTCTAATTGGTTCGTCATTGAACTTTTAAAAATGAAAGAAGGATAAATTGGTATTGAAGAAAAAAATGTGTATGAACATAGTAGAGACCAAGCTGATCTATTCAGCTCCACCCGTCTGTCTGCTCAGAAAGTTTGGGAACGCCTTATCCTTCGGATAAGGGTAGAACTTGTAATTCCTCTTGCCAAAGGAACAGCTACATTAATTTTTGGTGCGCTGAAGATTTAAAATGTATGTTTAATTTGTTGTTGCTATACATGTCGTGTGCCAATTACAGGCCAGGTCCCTTATTAAAAAAAAATTCAATCGTTGCCCATCTATTTGGACAAGGACGTGCAATCCCTCATGCATTCGTCTTTCATTCCAATCTATCTCTTTCCAGCTCTAAGTCAATTTAGAACAATAACAGAAAATCAGATATAAAAATGTATAGATTTATATCCACACAAAAAAATCGAAATAATTGTATATTAATTTCGAATTCAGTCAAGTCCGCAAATAGATGCACAATATACTGTGACCGATAAATTCCAGAGGTATCGATATAGAGTTACTAAACTATCGAATCAGATTGATGAACAAAACGATTATTTAATGTTTAATGTGTTTTCTTAGCTTTGGTAACACTTGGATACAAGTACGCAACAAGTGGTATTTTTTTTCTTGTTCAGTTGAAAAACCTTATTTGTGGTTCGTGATTCGGGCGGAAGAATATCAAGAAATAAAATGTTAAGCAACTACGAGGGATACAAGTCGCCATTGAGCACACGCTATGCCAGCAAGGAGATGCAGTTTCTGTTCAGTGATCAGAACAAGTTCTCGACCTGGCGGCAGCTGTGGGTTTGGCTAGCGAGGGCAGAGCACACACTTGGGTTAGACATAACCGAGGAACAAATAGCAGAAATGGAGCTGCACATTAAGGACATTGATTTCGAGGCAGCGGCTGCCGAGGAGCGTCTCACGAGGCACGATGTTATGGCTCACGTACACGTCTTTGCGAAGCAGTGCCCAGCGGCAGCACCAGTCATTCACCTGGGTGCTACTTCATGCTATGTGGGCGACAACACGGATCTCATTGTGCTGCGCGATGCCTTGCAGCTACTTTTGCCACGCGTGGCAACAGTTGTGGGACGCCTTCAGCAGTTTGCCGAGACCTATAGAGCCCTGCCGACACTGGGCTTCACGCATCTGCAGCCGGCGCAACTGACTACAGTTGGTAAACGCGCCTGTCTGTGGATTCAGGACCTACTAATGGACGAGCGTGCTTTAAGTCGCTGTCTCGAAGATCTACGCTTTCGCGGCGTAAAGGGAACCACTGGTACACAGGCTTCTTTTATGGAGCTCTTCAATGGAGATAGCCAAAAGGTGAAACAGCTGGACACACTGGTCACTAAGCTGGCAGGCTTTAGCAAGCCCTATGCCGTCACCGGGCAGACATATACACGCAAAGTAGACGTCGAGGTGATGGCTGCCCTGGCGAGCCTGGGGAGCAGCATACACAAAATGTGCTCTGATCTGCGCATACTCGCCTCACGCAAGGAGATCGAAGAGCCTTTCGAGAGCACACAGATTGGCTCGTCAGCGATGCCATATAAACGCAACCCGATGCGTTCGGAACGCTGCTGTGCCCTGGCTCGCCATCTGATCACATTGTTCAGCAATGCGGCGAATACGCACGCCACGCAGTGGCTTGAGCGCACTCTGGATGACTCAGCTAACAGGCGGTTAACTTTGTCGGAAGGCTTCTTGTCTGCTGATGCAGCTCTGCTTACGCTTCTTAATATCACTCAAGGACTGGTGGTATATCCGAAGGTCATTGAGAGACACATTGCTCAGGAGCTACCATTCATGTCCACGGAGAATATTATCATGGCAATGGTTAAAGCCGGTGGCGATCGCCAAGTATGCCACGAAAAGATACGCATTCTCTCCCAAGAGGCCGGTGCTCAGGTCAAGCAGCTTGGCAAAGACAACGATCTGGTGGAGCGCGTACGCAACGACTCATACTTTGCGCCCATTCTGGATCAACTGGACCACATTCTGGATGCAAGCACTTTCACTGGCCGTGCCAGCGAGCAGGTGGGCGAATTCATTGCTGAGGAGGTGAAGCCCGTGCTAGCCCGCTACAGTGACGCCCTCAAGAGTGTCCAGAATGTACAGCTAAATATCTAAAAATTATTGTTCCAGCAATTTTGTAATCTTATAAACTCAAAGCTATTAAATACATTTACGCATTTTTTTATGACGTATATATTCCAATACTGCTGTACAAAGTTATCGTATTTTCTCATGAAATGTGTAACATATAGAAGACACCTCCAAGCCTATAAAATATATATATATATTATATATTTATATATATATATTTATATCCCTGATCTTTATCAGCTGAGAGTTTCACTCTTCTTACGTATATGCAAATCCGTGCGATGTGTGTATAAAGGGTATTAAATCTTCAACGAAGGTAATTATTTTTCTTGTTTATTATTTTCATGTTTTTTAATCCAAAGCCCCCACCCCCTGAAGCATCTCATTACGGTTATCGCTGCAGTTCTCTGACCCCTGAGCCCCCAATGCGATTCTTATTTGTTTCGCGTGTCTGACGTACTAATGTAATTGGGAGCTGAAAACCACAAGCCTCTAATAGTTAACATCGCCTAGATTCGTAAGCTGCATCAGATAAGACCTACATTTTTACAACATTTTCCAACTGCCGAATACATGAAAATATAATTTTTGTCTATTAAAAATTCGTATTATTATCGTTTGCTTTTATCATAGTTATATTTGATTTTATAGATGTAATATATTTAAATTAATACAGAATTTCTTTCAGTTAAGGCAGCAGCTTTATAAACCCATTTAATATTTACACCTTACACTATTAAAAACAGCTTCTTGTCATTGTTTAGCCCAAGGCCCGTAACACATCAATTGAACTAAGTTGGGATTACTGAGAGTAGCGGGTGCAGTTCAAAATGTCATTCGCCTGCCAAGCTGGCGAGCAGCTCCTCGTCGATGCCATCAGCACCTGCACCAACTGCCTCATTGCTGCTTAAGTTGAGTAGCATATCGCTTGTAGCAGGTGAATGAGGTGCCGATGGATTCTGCGCTCCACTGCTGCTACTGGGCGTAGCTGTTAGGCTAGATGCCAGAGCACTCAACTCTGCATTAAGCTGTTGCTGATCCTGCGATGAGGTTATGGATGTCGATGCGGATGAGGAGGAAGATGCAACTGCTGTTGCTGACTGCTGCTCTGATGGGCTAACAGTGTGTCCAGCTGCGCCGCTGTTGCCAGTTGGTCGCTGAGACAATTTGGGTATCTGAAACTTGTTCTGCATTCCCTTGATGAAGCCCTCCATACTGGCTGCCATAGTGGGCGACGCGTACTGTAGAATGGTCATCATGTCCGTGTGGTGATCGAAGCGCGGCGGCGGCTGTGACATCGACCCTGTTAGCGCTGCTGGTGACATTCTGCCAGCCCCCAATCCTGGTCCTGAACCAGAGCCCGATGCCGATCCAGATGCCGTTAATGATGACTTGCGCTGCACTCCGCCTCCACTAGTGTTACCCGGGCTGCACATGCTGGGTCGGCGCCTGGGTACACTGTGTTCTTGGAAGGAGTTGGTGCTATTGCTCTTGGTCAACGGCAAGCCACCGCCTGAAGTGGAGGAGCCGCCTAGTTTGCTACTTAGATTGCCGGAAGAATTGGCCTTTTGGAAAATGTGTTTGCTGGAACTGCTTAACCCTGTGCCTGAAGCTGATGAAAGCGCCTTCTTAGACGCCGGTCCGCTGTTTACGCCTGGCTTCAATCCCGTGTGCTGCTTTTTGCTGCTAGCCGAGGACGACGACGAGCTAGTTGCTACCCCCTTGCTCTCTCTCTTTCCGCTCCCCGTTTTATTGATGGTCAGTTTGAGGCCCTCTTGGCTGCTCGGTTTCACCATGTACCCCGTAGTGAGGTCAGAGACTGCTCCCGCAATGGAGCTGCTGCTAGTGGAGCTGGAGCTGGAGTTGTCGCTACTACGTGGCGCTGGTCCCTGCTGTTGCTGCTGCTGCTGTGTTGTTGTTGCAATTGATGTTCCCACTCCCGTTTCCACTAATGTTGCTGATGCTGTGCCCGACGAATCCGCTAGAGTTGTTGCTGCTGTTGTTGTTGTGGTTTGGATGATTGTCGTCGTAGCTGCCGTCGACGTCATCAAACTAGCCTGACAAAGGAAGCGCGTGGTGGTGTGCATGTGAGTGTACGTGTGTGTGAGCGTATGCGGAGACAAACAAATGAAAAACGAACCGAGAAAGCAAATTAAAGCAATCAAAGGCGGAACGTGTCAAAAAGTGGCAAAGTGGCGATTGTTAATCATATCCCGGGTCATGCGAACGGAACAGCGAGTGTACAAGAGAGAGCGGGAGAGAAGAGAAACTCGTTAGTATATAGTTTATCAATGATTCCATAAGCCCTTTATAAGAAATGCAAAGATAAAGTGTCAAATAAATCAAGAGCTGTTTTAAAGCACATTCTACATGATAAAGAATTATCTGAATGCTTGAAATAGCAAGAAAATCGTGCAAGGTTCATAGAATCTACGGATTATACTTATTTGATATCAAACTACGGGTCACATACAAAATAGAACCCATCACAGGAATAACAAGACAAATTAAACGGATGCAGTTAGAAAAAAGACTATACAAGTAAATATATTTACAAACAGAACATACTGTAAATCAAATCAAAAACTACAGAAGCCATAAGTTATAATAATAATTATATAAATTAGTTATTACAATTTATTTAACATTTCGCATTCAAATAGTTTTAGTAAAAATTTTTGTTATATGCAAAAGTAGAAACAAGGAATCAACTTTGGGTTAGAGGTGCAGTTGGAGGCGGAGGTGGGCACACAACGAGAGCTACTCATAAATTGAAAACGGACTTACCGCACCTACCGCTCCCGCAGCTGCGCCCAATCCCGGTCCCGCCATTCCCTTGCGCAGTGCATTCAGCTCCAAGGCGGCTACGGCTGGAGCCACATAGCTGCTCAGATTCCCACCCGCGGTCAGATGAGATAGACTAGCCACGGAGGACTTTAGTTGCTGCTGCTGCTGCTGGGAGCTCTTGAGTGCGGCCACCGCAGCTGCCACCCCCGGTGGGGGACCAGATGGTGAGCTGCTAGCGATTTGCTTGTCCTTTTTTATGGTCGAGGGCAACTGGCTGCTGGCCAGCGGTGGCACAGGCCGCATCATTGAAGGATTAGCACTCGAGCTTAATGCGGACCCAGCAGTTGCCAGAGAAAGGGAACCACCCCCGGCACCTGCAGTGATTGACTTTTCAGCCTTGGGACTAAGGCTGAGGCTAGTGGCCGCCGTCGCACTTTTCAGAGTGGACATGCTTGGCTTGCCGGAGGATCCATGCTTGGGCGAGAGGGTTCCGAAAGGCGACTTCGGACTGTTCGAGGCGGTGTTACTGTTGCTGTTGTGCTTGGGACTGCTGTAGACAGGCGAGTGCTTCGGACTGGGGCGCGCCGATGGCTGGCCGGACATAAGGGCCAAAACAGCTCCAGTTCCCGAAGATGAAGTTGAAGGCGAAGAGAACTTGCGGACAGCTCCGCTCCCTGTCGTGGCATCCGCCATGCCGCCTCCTGCAGGCGAGTTCTGGCGTGAGTATACCTTCTCGGGAGGGCCCATGGGCGAGTCATCTCGCTTCTTCTTGCGCTTCTTTTCCTTCTGCGTGTCGCTGGAGGAGCTGCTGTTGCTACTGCTGCTCGAGTTCGAGGAGGCAGACAAAGAGGAACTGCTCTCATGGGGCCGCTTAGTGCCACTTCCGGATCCACTCATTACTTGCTTTTTCGCCTCCTTACTCCCATCTTTGCTAACTCCAGTGATGGGCGTTATGGTGATTGTGGTGGCTGGGGAGTCCGTGCTGGGCGTGGCTCCCACGCTGGCCGGAGCATTCAGTGGTATGATCTCAATGCCTCCTGTGCGCTGCACATCCACCTGCTGCTGTAGAAGGGACTTGCCATCGCCAGCAATGGGCGTGATGCTGACGCAATGCTTCAGGTTGGACGTCTTGTCCTTCCATATGTTCTTGTACTTGTCGGCGATCTCATTGTCGCTAGCCTTGGATGCTGAGACAGAGCTTGGGGTGAGGATGCTGCTGCTGCCTTCGGCAGCTTGAGGGTCGGTTTCTCGCTTTAAATTCATAAGTCCAGCAATGGCCGCAGCCGCCGATGTTGATGCAGCGAATGCATCTGCTAGAGATCGTACCTTGGAGTCCATTTTGAGATTGTTAACACTATTGAAGCCGCCGCTAGCTCCACTGCTGCCTTCGCCTGCACCCGTCTCCATGGCAAATTGTCCGAAGTTGCTTCCGTGCATCCCTCCACCTCCAACACCGCCTCCACCAGCGCTACTGAAACCACCTGCTGTCCCGCTGCCTGCTCCTGGGGCTATAGCGCCATGCAACTTTTGCTGATGCTCCTCATCCCAGCACTTAAGCAACTTGTATATAACCATCGGTATGGAGAGAACCTGGCGCACTGTTCGAGTCAGCTTCTGGGAGAGCGCTTCGTAATCGTTGCTGAGGCAGTAAATAGTGCAGGTCGCCTGGCTGTCCTCAAGCAAAAAATCGACAGTGGCCAGCGACTCCTCGTACGGATGCTGCAGTTCCACAGTGATCTGATTGAGCGAAACAGCAGTGACCTCCAAAATAACAGTACTATCCATGTCTGTAACGAATTCAAATTGTTTTTTTTTTTTATCACACAATTATTTTACTCTCGTGTTCTAATATGTTTAATACGCACCGTTGTATTGCTTCTGCTGCTCCCTGACGCAACTGGAGAGAAGCGTGTAGAAGAGCGCCTGCTTTTTAAGGAACGCGATTATCTTAGGCACTTGCGCAGGCTCCGTGAATGGCAGCGACGATATCAGAGTACCCTTCAGTCGTCGGTTGTCCGTGAAGAAGTAGCAGTGTGTCTCCCTTGGCAAATTAACATACAAGCCTTTCTGGGTGCCCTTTATCACCTGCCTGGAGGCCGTTTGCACGATCAGATTCATGACAGTCGTCGTTCCCTCGCTTGACAGGCCCGACAGACCCGGCAGAGACAAAGCACGCAGAGAGTCAATGCAAACGGGCATGGGTTTGCTAAGGCGCAGGACATAGGTAGCCGGCATCAGCATTGAGTTGTTCTGCGTGAGCGGCGCATAGCCGGGTTGCTCTAGCGGCAGCCCCGACTCGCTAGTGAAGCTTAGAATCGGGAGGATTTGCAGCTTGTTCGCGGAGGAGGCCTCAAGATTAAGTGTCGCGCTTAGTCCGTTAGGACTTTTCATCACCTGCTCAATGCTGAAGTCCCTGCTCGCAGTTCCACTTCCAGTTGCAGCGCCCACCTTTTCCCCTTTTGTTTTCGTCTCGATGAGATGCAAGGGCGGACAGAAGTAGGTCAGCTTCATTGGATGTCCACCGCGTCGCTGCTGGACTAAGCCCACCGAGGATTTATTCATAATGTAGTAACTATCGCTGCTGCCACTGATCTGCTGCTGTAGCTGGTGCTGATAGAGATTAAAAATGTCCGTTTCCATGGCCTGCAAAGCCACGTATGCCTTCTTTTTGACTTTAGGCTCCGCGTTTAGCTGGTAAATGGAGGATAAGCCCTCTAGCTGCACCGTAAAGTCGGCAAAGTCGCCCGCCTTAAGGCAGTTGAGCAGCTCTCGGGAACTGGCGCTGGAATTTGATTGCTGCTCAATTTTGCACTCGTGGTGGACCTTGACATCACTAAGTTTCCCACTGGCATCCAACAGTATCTCTACATAGAACATGTCCGTGGAAATGAATAACATTTGCTGATCCTCCATGAATTTTAGGCCCAGCTGGCGGGACAGACTCTCTAAACGCTCTACGAGTCCGTGTCGGGATGTTACTTTGATGTAGTGCTGCAGTTTGTCCAGTGCCGACTGCAGCGCTGCTTTGCAAAGGGGATCCATCGGATAATGCTTCTCTATGAAGTACATGCGCACCGACTTTTTGATGTCCTCGTAGCTTTTCGGCTTGTTCCGGTATTTGGCTCGCAGCTTCTCCATCATTGTCTCTTGCTGCATTTGCTTGTTTTTCTCTTCAATGCTAGGTATGGGCATTACCACGGGTGTGTGGCTGCTATATCCGGCTGTTGGTATGAATATAAAAATTTAACGTAAATTATATTCACAGATAAGCAATCAAATAACATACCTCCGCCAATGGTTTTCGAATGGGTTCCGCTCATTTTAATGATGTTTTCTTATTAATATCAAGATGAAATTGGTTAACGGAGTACAGAAAAATATCTTAGGCATCCATTTTTACTTTCAGCGAACGAACAACCGTCATTCAAGCCGGCTTGTTTTACTGAACCGAACCAGTTCGTCACTGCGTTGTTATCGATTGTAATTTGCGATGTTTTCACGTGCGTCATTTTGGAACTTGGTTCCGGAGCCGCAATCACTCACTTATTCAATTATTTAAGTTTTTAGTCATAAAACCAAACTCCAAGCATCAGCTTATAATATGGGCAAGCTAATTCGTCTTCCTTAACTAGTTCCGGGGTTTTAGGGCATCGTTCTCTTCGCTGCACATGGCACCGAAAAGTCTGAAGTAGGTTGCCGTCAACGACAGTCGCGCGGTGCGCAAGCGTACTCTTTTAATTTGAGAGATCGGCCGGCAAAAAATGTAAACTAAACAGAATTAAACTAAATTATTTAATTCACCCGTACAACTACAAATATTAAGTTATGTGTACTTATATTCAAAAATAAATACGTACATAAATACATACATGTATGTACATAATTGTGTGCCGCGTCAAAAATGTACATTACACTGCGCTCAACAAAAGAAAAAAGGGAAAGAACGTTCCTGAACCTACGCCAACGCCACAGCTTCGATAAGGAGAATGCTTTATTTTGAGAACGGCCACCAAAAAATTGTAGTTAAACAAAATTGAATTAAATTATTTAATGCACCCGTAGAACTACAAATATTTATTTATGTGTGCAAATATTCTAAAAGAAAAACTTGAATACATAATAATATACATAAATTTCTGCCGGGCCAAAAATGTGCACTACACTGCGCTCAATAAAATAAAACGTACGCCAACGCTACCTCTTTGACCAGGAGAAGATTCCGGGCCGGAAACACATGTTCGTCGATCCATGGCGCGGACCCAGGAGGACTGACCAAGGAGGAGGAGCGGCGAGACAACTATGACAATTAAACGAGTGAGTTCGTTCCTTGTGTTAGAATAAAGCTAGAGGCCAGAGAGCCTGAATTAAAAATAAATTGCTTTAGTTCTGTGTTATACATATGTACATATGTATATATGTTGTTGATATTCATAGAAAAAACAATTAGCACTGCTTGATAAATTGATCAACGGTGAACGATGCAGTATCCCTAATTCTGGTACAAAAACAAATATTCTCCGTGATCTGAAGCATAATTTTAAAATTGTATAATTTTTTTAACTACATGTTTAAAATATATGTAATTAAATCGATTGCATGGTAGTAGTCAAATATTAAAAATTGAATCTATATATATATATATATATATGAGAAAGCCTCCAGTTATCTGCGAGCAAGAAGCGAACGACGCCAAAAGTTATTGCTACTGCCCAAACAAACATAAAATCCTAAATATTAAATATCAGCACGAGAAATGCGCACATGCATACATATACATTAAAATATATCCATTCATATCGCCCCATACCCACCCAGAGAGCTCTTTAGGCAGTGTAAGGTAGTTTAAGCGATTTATAATAGTTGCATGCAACACAATTTTCAAATTTTAACATTTAGATATATATATATTTAATTAAATATCTTGTAATGTTAGGTTTTCAATAAAGATTTTACAAAGCACGTTAGTGCTGGTTGACTTGGGTTTTTAGAGTTTATTCAAAGTAAAGTATTTCGCTTAGCATATGGATACATGTATATACTTATGCTGTTATTGGTTAACAGCTACAAAGAGAGAGAGAGAGAGAGTGAGTAGCTTGCATATGCCTGTGTTAGTGAGCATATATGCTGCTCATGCAATGCGCTCAGACGTAGCGTGGGAAATGCAGCGTAAGCATAAACAGTCAGCTAGAGAGGCTAGTGAATTGCGCTACGTAATATGAGCCAGAGCCAATATATAAAGTGGCTCCGGGCTTGTTTAATGTATAATTGTTATTGTATGTGACAAAGTGCCGCATACTTTATATTTGTATATAGGATGTTCTTTTAAGGCATATATACACTACACCTCCCTTTTTCAAGAAATAACATAACATTATGTATGTGTAGTTATTTAATGAAATTAATTATTTTGAATAAAAAGTTTTTTTTTTTGTGTATAAAATTTTTTTTGTCATAAAATAATAAAATATAATAAAAGGATAAAATTAATATGAATATAAAAAAATTATTTGAAAACATTTCAAAATATAAAGAAATAAAAATATAAAAATGTTAAATTCATTATAGTAATTTGTTTTTCTCAAGGATTGATTTTTATTTATTTTTTTTTTTTTTCAGTTGGTTGATCAGGCCAATGTTATTTTTTTTTTTTTTGTGAAATCATAAAGGAACATAAAGACTTCATAAAAAATATTTGTATGTTTTATTCGTTAAAAATTGTTAGTCTATTCTTATGAACTTTTTGTTTTTTACTCTTATTTCCGGAAATAACTATATTATCATTATCTTCTATTTTTTCAACTCTATAGGGCCCTGTGTATTTAAAATCTAGCTTTTGGCCTACTTCATTTTTTAGTAAAACTTTATCTCCTATTGATAGAGTTATGTTCCTAGTTTTTAAATCATATATATCCTTATTTTTCTGTTTATTTAATTCGAGCATATTTCTTGCTCTTTTGTATGCTACTTCTAATCTATACCTACTTTCTATAGCGTAGTCATCTATGTTATATATAGGTTGTATATTGCTTATGCTGTTAAAATACTTTGGTAGATTATTAGTCTTACCAAATACTAACTCATATGGACAGTAATTATGTGCCATAGAAGGGGTTCTATTGAAGCAATAAACCAAATATTGAAGCCATACGTCCCAATCTGTTTTATTTACTGATATATAGGATCGTATATATTTGTTAAATGTTCTGTGGCTTCTTTCTATTGTTCCAACAGTTTGATGATGATGTGCAGTTGATGTTATATTCTTTATTTTTAAATATCTGCACAAATCATTTATAATTGAATTCTTTAATTCCGTTCCCATCTCCGAAATGAACGTCTTCATTGGACCGTTCTTGAGAATAAAAGATTCAAATATTGCTGTTGCTACTGTTGCTGCGCTTTTATTTGCGACAGGTATATCAACTAAACATTTAGTCAAGTCACATATGAGCGTGACTGCATATTCATTGACTTTTTCTGACTTTGGTAGTGGACCAATTGTATCCACTATCACTCTGTCAAAAGCCTTCATCGGGGTTTCAGTAATTGTTAAAGGGGTCTTAATATTTGTTGTTGTTTTTGCTTTTTAACATTTCTGACATTTCTGGATGGATATCACGAGTCATACCTTTCCAGTAATAATGTCTTTTGACCTTGGCCAAGGTTTTTGCAATGCCCGTATGACCTCCTTGTAATGGATCATCATGTAATGTAGAGAATATAGCTTCTTTCTCTTTAACATTTACTAATGTGGTCACCGGGTTGAGTAGCGCTACTCTCAATGTGTTCAATATTTTATTGCCCATAATTTTGAAATTATCTATTGAAACTTTTTCAAAGATATTTTCCCACGGTGCCATTTTCAATTGGTTTATTTTTAATATACCGGCTTCTTTTTCGAGCCTTGGAAATAGTTGTCCTAAGTCAATATTTCCATTATTAGTATATAAATCTCCAATATCAATTCTTGCCATAATTTTCTTACCATGTTTAAAAAAAACATAGCATATCTTTTATATGCAAGGTCACTACTGTACGTACTTCATCATTATTAATGACTTCGTATACATTGGGCTGAGAAGCTGTTTCAGTAGATTGCCTTGGCATCTCTACTTTATTGTTTTCTGCGCAGAATTTTTGTCTACTTTTATACCTGGTAGTGACTATCAGGATTTTATGTTGAATTTCTTTTAGTTCAGATATTGTTATCCGTGACAATGCATCGGCTACAAAATTATCTTTACCCTTTAGATACTCTACTGTGAAATCGTATTCTTCGAATTCGAGCCGCATACGTGTTAATTTGGAACTTTAATTGACCATTGAAAATAAATATGTAAGTGGTCTATGATCTGTTTTGACAGTGAAATGTCTACCATAAATATATTGTCTGAAATGTGTTATTGCCCAATGAATTGCTGCTAATTCTTGTTCTGTTGTACTTTTATTACTTTCTCCTTCAGTAAATGAACGTGATGCATAAGCAATTGGAAGTTGGAGTCCATTGTGGTTTTGAGTTAAAACCGCTCCACAAGCTTGCTTACTTGCATCAGTTATTATGCAAAATTCTTTGCTGAAATCTGGGTATTGTAATAATATTGGGTTTATTAGTGCCGATTTAAGATGTTCGAATGCATGCTGGCAGTCGGCTGTCCATTCGAACTTAACATCCTTTTTACATAATCTTGTTATGTGTCGAAAATAGTCGGCAAAATTTTTTATAAAACGTCTGTAATATTTGCAAAATACAACGAATCTTCTAGCGCTGTCCGCATCGTGTGGGACTGGATAGTTTTTAGTGACGTCAAATTTTTTGTTGTCTGGCAAGATTCCTTTATCGGTGCATTTGTGTCCCAGAAAAATGAACATTTTTCAGAATGTAACCTAAGGTTGTATTTCCTACAATTCTCAAAAACATCAGTTAAGTTTTTAAGCATATGTTTTTCGGAACAACCTATAACTATTAGAACATCCATATAAAGAAATGCTTGAGAAGGATCTAGTCCAGAGAATGCAATAGTCATCAGTCTCTGAAATGAATTTGGCGCTATTTTGAAACCAAAAGGTAATCGCGTAAAGCGATATGAGCCATTGCTCGTTGAAAAAGACGTTATATTTCTTGAACTCTCTTCAAGTTCAATTTGGTGAAAACCTGACATTAAGTCAAGGCATGAAAAGTATTTTGCTCTACCTAGTTGATCTAAAATATCATCAATTCTAGGTAGTGAAAACTTATCGTGCAACAGTTTTTTATTTATCTGACGATAGTCAATTACTAATCGCCATTTCTTATCTTCTGAGCCTGGAAGTGCTTTCTTCGGGACTAGTAGAAGTGGGCTATTGTATTCTGACACTGATGGTTCGACAATTTTATCGTAGATTAATTTGCCTACTTGTTTTTGAATTTCTACTACTTGACTATGCGGGCTTCG